AACCTTGAAATTGAGCAGATTTGTGTTCTGGAACCAAGTACAGGTGTCGGTATCGGGTGGAACGGTTGTGTACTTCACTGCCTTTTACTAGTTTGTTGCACAGATAAACAGGAGATTTAAATGTTTCAGTTTATAAACTATGCAAGACAAATGTAGCTCATACATTTCTTTTAAATATAACCATCTGGATTCCAAAAACTTTTGAGTTATGTGATCAAATTTTCTTAAGCCAAAGCAATATCTGATGCAACTGTTCTGTATTTTCATGCTGGGTATATTTATCTGATTCTAATAGATAATGCCAAAAAACACTATCACAGTAATGTAGTAGAGATAAAATTAACGAATCACATATCTTTAGTTTCACATCAGTACTGAGTGAATCTTTATGAATATTAAGCAGTTTTAATTTCCCGTGCGATTTTTGTACTAAATAGTTTACATGCTTTTGAAATCTTAAATTAACATCCAAATATACTCCGAGGTTTTTACATTCTTCTTTGGGCTTAATTACTTCGCCATTAACAGAAATTCGAAAGTCAGGATGCAGGGTTATTAATTCCCAATTTTTTCCGAATACTAGCAATTCCGTTTTGGCTTCGTTCAAAATAAGTTTATGAGCAGTACATAGTGTGAAAATTTGCGCAAGTCTAAACTTATTTCATCAATGGCTATATTAATATTACTAAATGGAAATGAATAATATACCTGTGTATCGTCAGCATACTGGTGAATTTTGCAACTAGATAGGTATGTAGAAAAGTCTGCAGTGTAGACTGAAAATAATAAAGGACCCAATGCACTACCCTGAAGAACTCCTTTATTTGTGACCCTGAAATCTGAAGATTTACAACAACACAACATCTTTTGACACTTGTTGCATAAATACTTTTTAAAAAATAATTGGGAAATATCTCCAAGACCGAAATATTTAAGTTTTTTAAGCAAAATGTTATGATCCAACGTATCAAAGGCCTTGCTTAAATCTAAAAGAATCGAGCAAGTACTAAGATATTTGTCATTTGATCGAAGTATATTGTCTGTGACATCTAATAGGGCTATAGTTGTGCTATGATTAGCCTTAAATCCCGATTGATGCAATGGTAAAATGCAGTAAAATAAGAATTAAGTTGTTCACATACGATTTTCTCTAAAACCTTAGAAAGTGTAGGTAATAAACTGATGGGTCTAAAATAAGACAGGCTTGTGGGATTTGTGATTTTAGAAACATGACATATATAAGCGTGTTTCCAAATATCGGGAAATACTCTGAAGTGAGATATTTATTTATAATAAATGTGAAATACTCAATTAATTGTGGAAAAAATAAGTCTAAGGTTTTTAAGTTCATTCCGTCTGTACCTGTAGCTTTAGATTTCAATTTTCTTAAAACCAAACTAACTTTCTCAGCGTTGACCCCAGTAAACTCAAACAGCCGATCACTATTGATCATAGTTTCATACTTACATTGATCAAAATTTCCACTATATCTTTATCCGATGTACATTAGGTATACATATACATTAGGTACATTAGGTATAGAATCTATAAAAAAATCATTTACAACATTGGGGTCTTCGTTACTAATTGACAAATTCTGTTTTTTTTAATTTAAATGTTTATGTGCAGCCCAACAATTTTTGGGATCAGTTTTTAATTTATAATTTAAATAAGCCTTTTTTCTGCTTTGACAGATCTATTTACTAAATTGCGCAGCTCCTTATATTCTTCCCATACCTGTGCAGTTCTGTTTTGTTTATATCGAGTGAAGCCCTGTACCTCAGTTTCATCATTTTTTAAAGATTACTTATCAGGCAAGGAGCTGGAGGTTTAGTGAACCTAGATGCTTTATAAGGTGCATGCTTATCTAATAGAATATTGCAATTAACAATTAAGAAGTTTACCATTTCACTGGGCGTATCGAATGTGTATATAGTATCCCACCTTACTGCCATCAGATCTACTAAGAAAATATCGTAAGAAAAATTAGAGGAATCTCTATAGGTTCGTACAACAGGATATATTTTGTCTCTTCTTAGTTTAATATTACACGTCACCATTGAATGATCCGATATGCCACACATTCTTATGACCGCACTATCCATAATCATATTAATGTCATTAACAATAATTAAATCGATTAATGTAGAAGAATTGGTAACACGAGTTGACTCGGTTATTAATTGATTTATGCTAGATTTATCTAAAAGTCTTTGTATGACTCTAGAACCACTACTATTTATTAGCATATCTATATTAAAATCTCCACCTACAAAAACGTAGTCAAAATCGGGTAGTAAATTACTAATGATATTTTCTAGGTCTTCTAAGCATAACTGTAAGTTAATCGAGGGTGGCCTGTACACGGTTCCAAAACACAACCTCTTACCTACAATTATTGTTGTTGTGATAAAACCTTAGTTTTAATCGTATCCTTGACATAAAAAGCAACTCCCCCGCCTGTACGTGCTCTGTCCTTTCTAATTAGATTATAGCTTGGAATGTATAACCCATAGTCAGGTACTGACAAATCAAGCCACGTTTGTGACAAACCAAATATGTCAAAAGATTCTGCAGTTATCAATTCTGAAATACATGTAAAAGACGCATACAAAGAGCGTACATTGAAATGCGAAAAGCTTAAATTAGCCACAATAGAATTATTAGCTGTCAATTGTTAATTGAGCTCCAACATTCAATAAATGAATAAAAACTGAATATGATTATTACATATTAAATCATGCATAATTGTACTACAATTGCTATTGCAATTATTTTTAGGATACAAAAATTAATTCTCAATTGCAGAATGATTAAGGACAAAGAAAACAGTGTAACATAAGTATTAAATGGACATAGCCAGTATTTAAAATTGTCAAAGATATAGATATAAACATTTTCAATTTACTTTCATATCAATAAAGAAAAATGTAAAATAAACTTTTACAAAATAGAATACGCAGATAGTACAATCTAGCTGCGTAAAAAACTTCAACAGCAAGAGATACAAAAACCTAGAAAAAGATACCTATAGCTTGTCCACGTCGATAAAACTATAAGTCGTTTATTGAATTAATAACACACCTTTTATTGTTGCGTAAAACGTATACCTTTCCCCCACTGGTCCAAGCATCTCTCTTCCCGTATTTCTTCTTAGCTCAAACACAGACAAAATAGCTATCGCCACAGACCGCTCCTGGAAAAGGCCAGCAGTTTTAAATTTCCGAATTGCCGGTAGAGTACACCACCAGCAGAATTTTAGGAAGAATCAAATACAGCGGCCCGCATACCTACGCGTATCCTAGCAACATATAAACAAGACTTTGGTAATGTTGCCAGGCGTACTTACGGATTTCTTTTGTACACTTTTTTATCAATATCTGTTTTTTGCGTTACTGTATTTNGGAGAGATAAGTTATGACAGTTTTAAGGGTTGTTGACAGGGTGTCTTCCAATAGTGACAAAAGATCCGAATGTTTTTTAAAAATCAGTATAAAAGTAATGTTAACAACCTATGTCAAATATAGGGTGGTACGGGGCTAATTTTCTAAAATACATGTAACTAAGTTTTAAGGGTGGCTAATATGTGGGGTGGCTTCTGATGATGGGGAAGTGTTGTTTTCGTCTACAGAAGCCAGAATATAGGTGGTAAAATCATTTTAAGTACGATTAAACGTGATATTATGGGTTTTCATTTTCGTTCAAACGAACGTTCGGAACTTCAGGTACATAGATTTTTGAAAACTATAACAAGAGTAAGAAAAGTTTTAGAATTAAATTCCACATAAAATAAAGTAATAATTTTTTAAGTCCGCCAATGGGTTGAAAAATTCAGTCACAATATAATGGTGTATTATTCCTTATCAACCTCTTAAAATATTTCAATTGAACTCTACTTAATGTCGATTAATGCTCTTAGTACACTTACACCGTGTACAAAATTTTGTTTTTCAAGTACTGCACTTTCTAGACCTATAACTTCTCAGGGGTGCAGCTTAGTATAAAGGTAAGTTGCGTTAAATCACCATATTTTTAGTTCCCCTATAGGCCCCTGTTCGGTGTCGGTTCTTATGTGAAACACCCTGTATATGTATACAAAAAAAAATCAAGGAAAATACAAAAAATAGTATCATACAACTATTTTATGATTCAATTCAGTGCACCATGTATATTTTCATTATGTCAAATATATCCATGGCACAGTTGGCTGTATGAGGAAACAATAAAATTATTATACAATTTCAAAAATTACAGGACAGGGTTTTCACCAATCAATTTTTCTTAAAAATCAAGACTATGATGTGAACTTTTCTAACAGTTTGGAAAATATGAGAAACTCCTCCAGTGTCGAATTTAACACTACCTGTACTTTAATGATAATGTTATGGAAATTTAAAGTACCCAGCGGTGGCAATTTATAACATGGTACGGACTACAAAATGGACTAAAAGCGATAACCTTGAACTTTTTTAAATTTTTTTTAGTAACTGTTATTAATAATATAGTAAAAAGTATTAAGTAATCAGAATTGCTTAAAATGTCACAAAAAACCAAAGATAAATGTTTCTGTAAAAGTTACGCTTTATCTTGTGATATTTTTTTGTGGCTATAAAGTTATAGCACTACAAGAAAGGTACAGAATACGACTACAGCGTTGCTTTCAAATTTTTCTGACACGGCATACTAAACAGGAAAAAAGTTACTTAGAAATTGGCGGTGGAACCCATTGATTGAAATATCAACTTATAACTGGAAAGGAATAAATTTTAATCCAATGTTCATGTTTTTTAATGTGTAAAAACGATTTTTTGATTATTGATATTGAACGAGAATTTCTTTGTTGTATTCTAAAATTCTTAAAAAATATATATTTTACTGAAAATGCAATGAATACATTTTTTTTATTGAAAAAACTCCCAGTTTGTATCTCCACCAATGTAAATGACGAAAGACCTATTTCTACATTTCTTTCATTACCTCTTTAAGTTAGGCACCATATTCTAGAACCACCCTGCATACTTCTTTTTAAACGTGGTCTTACCTTCTTCAAAGCATAATGCTCCAGCAAAAATTAGGGCTGTAATTTCCCCCAAACTAAAACCGGCAGTAGCAACACAATTTGCTATAGCATTAGGTCTCTCTTCTTTAAGTTTCTCAATTGCTGCTAAAGAACAAACCATCACCGCAGGTTGGCAGTATTTAGTCTGATCTAGCATTTCTTTTGGGCCTTCTGTACATAATTGTAACAAATCGTATCCTAATACATAATTAGAAAGTTCAAACAAATCCTTAGCCATTGGAAATTTTATTAAATTGTTCGCCATTCCTGGATACTGCGATCCTTGACCGGGAAATAATAAGATTGATGATTCCTGTGCGACATGTTTCGAATTCTTAAAAAAATCTCCCTGCTTTCTTAATGTTGCTTTTCCTGCAAAAGGTAGAGTTACCCATTGTTGATTTGGATATTTTGTATAAATATCCTGCAACGACAAAGAATCATCCAAAGCTTTTTTTAAAGGAGTAATGTTACATTTGTTCCTTTCATACAATGTTGCTAAAACATAAAAATGTCGTATAATACTACGCACTTTATCCGTTATGGTATATTTAATAGGTCCGTATTCTTTACACAATTTATACGAAAACTGAAAAATCATTTTAAGTATTTGTTATGAACCTAATTTTAATCCATGCCATGACCATGGAGACGGAGACTGAAGACGGCTACCATAGATTAAACTGCTACTGCTACTACCAGGGGCTTGATTTTTGAAAACAGGAGAATTAGTTCATTAGAGAAAATNAGTAATTCATTATAACCTTTATTTCATAGATGCATAAGGTGTATTAAGCACCTTCCAGTTAAACTCATTCTATAAAGAGTATGGAGATGATTGCTTTTTTTTAATAAAAGTCGTATATTGGTTATAAAAGTTTTAATATGCGCTATACACATTATTCTAGATAAACAGTTTAATAAGCCCAATTCTTTCAGTGTATGTGATCCTATGTGAATTTAGACAATTTTTATTAGTGTAGTGATAATCATATGAAGTTTTCATTACGTTCATGCGTTCTTGAAAAATTTCTTTTTTTAAAACAAATTAGGTCCATATCTCAGAAACGGTACATTTTTTATAAACTTCTTGATTAGTTTTACGTGAAAAATGTTCCCTTAAAGTATGTACACTTGCTCGTCGAACACTCTGTATAATTACATATACTTCAAAACGTATATTGCTGAAGGCATTTTCTAAATTTCCACTAAAATCTTTGTAGAAGTATTATCCCTTCGAATTCTTATTTACATTCGGAAATAGCTAAGACCATGCGATCCCTCGCTACACAGAGATGACGGAGATTACCCACGATATTTACCGTGTATAAATATTAAACACATCTTTGCCGGCGGTACATTACGGCCTCTTACATATCTTGCATCCTCGCGGTGAAGTTTACGTACCAGATTACATATCAATCTCGGAATCACATAAACGGAAAAACCCATAACCCTTAACAGGATTCCAAAAAGACGCCTCGCAACGGATGTAATCTGCGAGAATCAAAGTTGTATGTATTCACCCCCATCGCAGCCCCTATGCAATTTCCGCAGTCCGTCCGTCTACGTAGCAATAAGTCTTCCATGAATAAAGTAGATCGTGAGGGTCTGCAAATGGAGCACTTCTTATTCTTTCCGCAATTTCAATCGACCAAGGGTTAGTGAATCATCCAGATTTTTATTCAATGATCCGTTCTAGTCATTAATATTAATGTTTTTGTTATAGCCGTATATGGGAACAAAACTGATATTATTTGTTAATAATAAGTGGAACGGTTTTGTTAAGAGAGAATAAATTAACATTATAGTGAAGAGAAAGCATGGTATAATGCATGTAATAGACATTAACGATAAATAACTGAATCTAAGAGTAAGTGAATACATTGACGGTCTTGAAAGATGCATACTTCCTGCATTTCCATCAATCTATTCAGATTGGTAGGTATAGAGTGTCTCTAAAAGATCTTTACAAAATTCTAACACGTATTATTTAGTCGATATATAAATCGACTTATAACGAGCGTTCAAATAAAAACGTGGTCAAGTTGGTTCTGAAAATTTGGACGTAGGGCGTAGCGTATAGCAAATGAACTTAAACGTCATCTGTCAAAGCGCTATATCGCCGCTATCAATTTGAATATTTTCGTTTTAAAAAGCGTTTAAAATGGTGTTCTCTCAAGAACAAAAAGTGTTTATCATAGAGTCCTACTTTAGAAATGGACGCAATATTGATGGAATATGGAAGTATTCTATTGAGGAATGTTTCATAGAATTTCAAAATCAATTTCCCGGCGTTGTTGAGTACAAAATTTTTCAAAGTGCAGTTCAGCGTTGTGTTAATGTTTTTCGTGAAACGGGCAGTATAACAAGAAAAGAAAGAAGCGGCCGACCTAAAAAGCGGACTGAAGAATTAAAAGAAAATGTCCAACAAATAATGGAAAATGCGCCAAGAACTTCTGTACGTGTTTTATCACAAATGGTGGGAGTATCAGTCGGTACCTGCCACACAGTGTTAAAAAAAGATTTGCGTTTGTTCTCCTATCGTTTAACTTGTCAGCAAGAACTTCATGAAGTTGATTTTCCGCGACGGGCTGTATTTTGTGAATGGTTTTTAAACAACTACGGTGACCTTCATAATATCATCTTTTTTCTGATGAAGCCTGGTTTCATTTAAGTGGTTACGTAAACTCACAGAATATGAGAATGTGGTCTTCTGAAAAACCAGATAACTTTTTTGTCGAGGGCCCTCTACACGCTCAAAAAATTAGAGTTTGGTGTGCTCTCAATCGAAGGAGGATTTATGGACCTATTTTTTTTAATGGTACTCTTACTGCGCAAAGGTATAGAGAAGAAATTATCGCTCCTTTTGTTAACCAGCTGGAAGAAAACGAAATTACAAACTTTTACTTTCAACAAGATGGCGCAAGGGCACATACGGCAGGCGAGACCATGAATATGTTGAGGGAAGTTTTCCAAAATCGACTAATAAGTCTCAATGCTGAACATGAATTTCCACCGAGGTCATGTGATATTACGCCGTGTGATTTCTTTTTGTGACCTTACCTTAAAAACGCTATTTTTGAACTGCCTATTCCTGATTTAAACTATCTGCAGGCTCGACTTATAGACAAGATTCGTGAAATTAACAATACCCCGAGCATCTTAGAAAATGTCTTTAATTCTTTGAGGAACAGGTGTGAAAAGTGCTTGGAACAAGGAGGGGGACACTTTCAGCAGCTGCTTTAATTTATTGTTATAACAAGGAGGGGGACACTTTCCGCAGCTCCTTTAATTGTTTGTTATTGTTATCACGATTATTCTTTAAAATAAAGTTATATAGTCATTAACGTTATTGAAACTGACAGCTGCTATACAGCTCGTTGAGAAATGAGGTTAAGTTGGTCGCTATAAGCTACTCCCTACGTCCAATGTGTCAGAGCCAACTTCGACCACGTTTTTATTTGAACGCTCGTTATAAACCTTACACTGATAAAAATTGTGGAAATTCACATGGGATTTTTACATATTTTCTATAATTTTTGTACGTAACTGAACATACATTGTACATTTTGTATAATTACACGTTTGAGGGTATATTTTCTTTTCGGGATGTATTCTTAGCTTCTATGTTGTACTTTTAAGCTTTAGAATGTATTATAACCTAATCCATTTTATATTTTTACTGTATTTGATGTAAATATACGAATAAAAGCATGAATTTACATGACCCGATTTGGCTCAACCAATCAGATTGATCATGTGATCACACGGTGTGGTGTCACCGCGCGTATGCTGGTTGTTCAGTAGGCATGTTTAGATTCATTTGTGACGGAATAATAAACACAGTGTTTTCATTATTCAGAAAAAGTTTTCATACAAATGAAAACCACAGTAAAATATTCCCCAGAAAATACATGAAGGATGTTTTAACGAAAATATATCGCATGTGTCGTAGGTAAGTGTAGTTGAAGAAATATAAAACAGGGTGTATAATTAAATATATACTTTGTCCTCTAAATAAGTAGGGAGGTACAATTTATCTTTATTTATTACCAGCTGACCCGACGTTGTACTTTCCATATTTCATAAATTTGTTTGTGATTTTAAGCATTTTTTCCAAATTTTCCGACTTTCGGTTGTATTATCCAGAATTTTTTTTTCCTGAAATTTTTTCCAGGGCCATAACTAACAAGACAAAATAGAATTTCGCATATCCAACGTTCGAATCGTGAGTTATGGTCTTGAGTTCATACAAAAATCCCATAGAAAAAAGCACTTTCAGTTTTTCCCGAATTTTACAATTTTCCGGTCAATTTTTCCAATTTTTCTTTCCCTAAAAACCTTATTATTATTATTATTAGGAACATTTGAAAATTTGCCAAATCGGTAAAGCCGTTCTCAAGTGATGTACTTACCAACGAACAGCATTTATTTTTATTTACTTATATAGAAGATAGAAGATTCAGAATTTATTCTCGTATCTTATTATAAAAAATATGTGTCATTTACTGCAATAATAAATCTTCTTAAATTTATTTAACATTATTTTCCCTTCACTTAAGTATATTATGACCTATTTTGAAAAATATTGAAATATGTATATAAAGAATATAATGTATTCTTTTAAAAAAAATTACAATTACTATGGGTCGGTCGGTGTTAATTTTTTTATTACTTTCAACTATGGTGTGTAATTTAATTTTTCGGAAAGGTCTTTTATTCCTCGGACTGGACTCTAAACGGCAAAATTGGTTAATAATTTATATATGCGGTTAGTCTCGGGCTCCAGTTTCCCTATATTTTACATGGGGGAAACTCCACGTAACCTTTACCCTCGGTTTAGAGTAAAGTGCACAGGTAGCTACAGTGAAGAAAATAAATTCCAGGGATCAATTGTATTTCTTTTAGGAGAAAACGGCAGAGAGTAGTTTTCTCAGTGTAGTTTTATTTTAAATATAAAATTAAACGGGAGTCCTACAAAACGGTATCAGTGTTTTTGCTGGTTCGGAATGTTATCAGTTTACCTCGGCGTTGAAAGAAATACACCTATCAATTTTTACTGGATTTATTCACGAGGAAAAATATTAATACTTTATACAAATGCAAATCGTGTCAATCTTTATTTCTACCCACTACTAAATGACTGGAACTATTTACAAGTTTATTAAACAATAATTATCTACAAAATCGGTGTTAGACACAAAACTTAAAGTTGTAATTCCTGATTTCTACAATTTTTATTTATCACCTTTGAAAAGAGATAAATATTTATGAACGGAATCAAAAATGAAATGTTCATGACTTTACAATAGTAGACGGTTTTAAGTAAAAAGAAAAGTGATTTTAAACGGTCTGATAGAGAACTAAATTATTTGTAGATGTTTTTGTCGGTCCCTGCTGATTCTGTAAATAAAACAAAATTATGCGGAATTATTTCGGAATTATTTAAACTCAGGTCGGCGGTCAAATATCGGTAATATGGCCTAGCAAGTAAATGCAGAATTAGTAAGCGGTAAGCGGTAAGCGGTAGCAATAAACAGTGAAGAAAGCCCAGGCGGTACAAGGCGGAAAAAAACCGAAGTATCTCGCCTTACAATTCGTACTGGCCTCTA